CTAAGTTATATAACCTAGTATTATATAACCTATATTATCTAATTCTAATCTCTAAAGTATCTCTTAGAATATCTAACTAGACTATACTTTCTAATAAAGTTATTTATTATATAACTAGTAGTACTACTATCGATAATCTATTTCTTAGAATAAGTAGTATATATAGCTATCTATATAGCTACTAAGATAGTAATATTAAATATACTAAAGGAACTACTAGTATTTAGCGTTATATATTTATCGAGGTTAGTAGTATAGTAAGCCTACTAGCTACTACTACTACCTCCTAACTATTAATAGCTACTACTTTCTAACTACTAATTCTTATTACTTTAATTCTAATTATTAGGCTTCTTTAGATAACTAGAGTAGTTATACTTATTACTAGGCTTATTCTAGTATTTAGCTTCCTTATAAAAGGTTCTACTATAATATTAATACTTTAGATAGAGTTATTATAATTATTACTAGTTTCTACTACTATAGCTTTATCTATTTCTATTTCTATAGTTACTATAGCTATTATTACTATAGCTACGACCTCTACCTATACTCTCTCGATTAGCGTTCGAGCTAGAGTTACTATTACTAGTATTAGAGTTAGAGTTAGTTCTATATACTAAAGTATACTAATATTCGTTTTAATTATAGTATATAAAATTTTTATTTAGAACCTCTAAGGTTAGTATATCGAGTATTAGAGTATCTCGCTTATTATTAGTAATATTTCTAAACTATTTATACTTATTATTAACCTATTATAGAAACTCTAGTTCTATCTAGATAATAAAAATAAATATAGCGACTAAGTCTAATAACTTTAGCTTAGTCTTATTAAGTATATAAAACTTAGCTTTAAATTCCTCTATAAACTTTAAAATATTAGAGCTAGGAAAGTAAAATAGATAGTAAAACTTTAGAAAGATAGCGTATTCTTTACTAATAGTACTCGAGCTATATATAGCTTCGAGGTATATCTAGAGTTTAGTAGTAGATTCGTATTCTAGTATATTTTACTATACTAACTTATAGAGGTTATTAATAATAAATAATTAAGCTCTAGTATAAATACTATTATAATCGATTTAGTATAGTTCGAATTCTTCTAATAATTCGCTAGCTAGCTTAATAGGCTCGGCCTTTAGAAATATTTTAGCGCTACTAGTAATATATAATAGAAGGCCTTAATCTCTAAAGCTAGTTCTTATAAGAGTTAACTATATTATCTAGTTAGCTTTACTTTTTAACTTCTTAGAGAAGTTAGTAGTAGTAATAGTAGTTTAGTAGATAGCTATTATATTAAACGATAACTCGAGTTAGCCTCTATAGCTCGCTATTATTAGTTACCTCTATAGTAATACCTACCTCTATAGTAGCTATAATACTATCGTAGATTACTATAAATTAGTATAGTAGAAACTACTAAATTAGGTTAACGCGCTATATAGCGCGACGGCTTATAACTATACGAGAGATAGTAACTATAATATTAATTAAGGAACGAACTATAGAGGTACGAGAAACTATATAGAAGTACTACTCGAGTGAATGCCAAGAGTGAATGGACGACTGCCTGAGGCATACCCCATGCATCAAGTTACTCTGCGCCAGAAATCTGCAGTCGATGTCGTGCCGAATACAATTGGTAACCGGCTTGCCTTCAATTGTCCTTGAGCTTTTCAAGGTGCCAACAACTCGGCAAGCAAGACTACCGAGCAGGCGTAGAAAGCGATGAGATGTAGTCCCATACTCCGCATCGACGATGAGGCAAGTGACGGGCTCCCTTCGTCTCCAGATGAATTATTATCGTTGGAGTTATTGCCTCCATTCGAGTTCGACCCTGAGTCCTCATTTCCGGAATCATTCGATGAAACGTCGTTGTCGTTGTCGTTGTTGTTGTTCGAAGATCCGCCCGATGAATCGGTATTCCCGCCGGAAGATTCCTGTCCATTGCCGCCAGAGGAGCCTCCAGAATTGTTGTTGGAAGCCTCGCTACCTTGGCCGCTGCCTCCAGAACCATTGCTTTCTGACCCATTTTCTCCGCCTCGGCCTGAGCCTGAGCCCTGATTATTGTTGTTGGACGAGTCACCGCCAGCGCCGCCAGATGAGCCTTGATTACCGCCAGAGGACCCTCCATTATTGGAAGATCCTCCGTTGTTTGAAGAACCTTCGTTGTTCGAGCTGCCTCCATTACTTCCCGACCCTCCATTGTTGAAGCCTCCTCCATTATTGCCTGATGCTCCATTGTTGAAGCCTCCTCCATTATCGCCTGATGCTCCATTGTTTGAGCCACCTCCACCATTTCCTGATCCTCCATTGTTTGAACCTCCCCCTCCTCCATTGTCCGAACCACCTCCTCCATTGTTTCCCGACCCTCCATTATTGCCACCACCTTTCTCACCCGACGAACCTCCACTACCAGGAGGCAAAGTCGGACCAGCAGGACTACCTTCGGGAGGAAGCTCATTCGGAAGCGCAGTCGGTCGAGCAAAAGGAGGAATCTGAGGCAGGTTCCCAGGGACGGCAGTTTGCGGCGTGTTGTTCGGTTGCTCAGGGCGTGGAGTCGGTTTGTATCCACCTGGTAATGTAGGGGCCTCGGCCACCGAGGCCTTTGTCAGAGCTATGGGAGGATCGTAAACGCCGTAGATGACCGGGAAGCAAGACTTCCACGCTCCCTGGAATCCAGTGACCTCTTGCGGCAAAGAAATGAGTGCGCGATATGCTCCTTCGTAGATGGTAGAACATTGCGGCTGTGGTGCTAATGGGTCACACCCAGGAGCGTTTTCCAGTGGCTGCAGATAGTAGGCTTCAGGCGGCGGATGAAGAACATCGCTCAAATTCAGTGGCTTAGCAGTCACGTTGAAGTTGCCGGCGACCTTTGCCATGACATCTGCGTATCC